TCCAGCCCTGCCAGGGTCAGAACCCCCCAAATCCAGCCCTGCTGGGGTCAGCACCTCCACCCGCTCTGCAGGATCCTGGTTAATGAGGAACTGAGCCTTTAATTATAAAACCGGTGAATGAATGAAAAATGAGGGAGGGGTTCAGGGGCTTTGGGGGGGATTTGGAGGAGGCAGGGCAGTGTTTTCCCAGCCATCTGCACAAGCACAGGAGCTCAGGGGCACCGTGAGACCTCTGCCCGTGCCAGGGGTCATTTGCACAAGCCCAGGCACTCGGGCACGTGTTTGCACTGCACATTTTCACTGCGTGTCACTCACAGTGACAGTCACACGTGCACGGTGCCTCTTGTACATGGTGACATCTGCACGTGTGCAGGGCACTAGGCACAGTGACATGTCGGTGACATTTGCACACACAGAGGGCACCTTTTGCTCGGCTCAGGCGGTGTCTGCAAGGGCACAGTGGCACTGGTACGGCGACGTTTACGTGTGCAAGGCACTGTTACCCACTCGCACGGTGACACTGGCACAAGCACAGTGACATTTGCGTGTGCAAGGCACTGTTACCCATTTGCACGGTGACATTGGCACAAGCACAGTGACATTTGCCCCCTCCCAGCACCCTTTGCCCACCCAGTGTCGCTCCCAGCCCCCCTCCAGCTGCACAAAGCCTTTCCCCTTGTGACCCCACCCACTAATTATCCCCCTAATTACCTCGCCCCAAAGAAGAGGGCATGCCCAAGGGCGTCCCACCCCTCGCATCCAGCTTTGCTGCCTTTACCCCCCTTCCACAATCCCAGCCCCTCCCAAATCCCTCCCGGGGCAGCAAATTGCTTTAACCCCAAGAATTTTAAAACAAAATAAATCACTGAGGAGACAACAAAACCCAAGTTTAGGGACAAATTAACCCGATGAGTTAATTTTTTTTCCCATCTTCGTGTGGTCCCTGGCTCCTCCACGCATGTGACGAGCTGGGCACCAGGGTCAGTCCTCAACCAAGGGACCACAGAGGCATTTTGGGACCCAGCCCCACGGCGTTTCGCTCAAAGAGGGGGTTTTATCCGCCGAGGCTCCAGCTGCCATCCCAAATCCCGCAGTGGGTTTGGGATAGGCCAGGGAACGCTGCTAATTATAGGGAAGGAACCATGTATTTACAGAGGCAGCTCCCAGCACCAAACCACCGGCGGCTGCTTTTGCTCCGCTGAGTCTCTCTGTTCTCTCTCTCTCCTCTTTCCCGGGCGCTGCTGTCCACAGAAAAATAAAAAGGGGGGATGAATTAAAAATAAATCCCCCCTCGGTGATTTGCGAGAGGCACTTTAGCAGAGGAGGAGGAGGAGGAGGAGGCCGAGGAAGGGCAGGAGGAGCGGGG